CTATCTCAAGAAAGCAGAAAGTCACTAAGACTGTTGGTTTTAAGAATGCTTATTTTCTTATTGTCCTTAAGGCAGAACTGGGGGCATGAAGGTTGCTTCTGCCAGCACCATGCCTCTGGTCCCCACCCCATAGGATAGAGATGTGGTCTCAGGTCACACCCCATCCCAAAGGCTACTCTAAGGAACAGGGAAACCCAGACTGGGTGGTATTACCTATGATTCCAGCTACTTGGGACGCTGAGAAAGGAGGATCACTTGAACCCAGGAGTTCAACACTAGCTTGGGTCACATAGACAACAACATATTCTTTTTTCTTTTTTTTTTTTTTTTGTTTAAGCCAGGCATGGTGGCACACACCTGTAATTCCAGCAACTTGGGAGGCGGAGGCAAGAGGATGACAAGTTCAAGGCCAGCCTCAACAACTAAATGAGGCCCTAAGCAGAGACCCCATCCCAAAATGAAAAAAAAAAAGGGCTAGGGAATGTGGCTCAGTGGTAAAAAGCCTCTGGATTCAATCTCCAGTACCAAGAAGAAAATGAAAGTAAGAGAAAGGAAGAAGAGGAGGAGGAGGAATAAAAAGAAGAAAAAAGAAGGAAAAAGAAAGAAAGAAAGAAAGAAAGAAAAGGGGGGAAAGGGGTGTTTGGGTTGGAGATGTAGCTCAGTGGTGGAGTGATTGAGTAGGAACAGCGGCTGCCCAATGGTGGTGTATTCATCAGAGTTGGATGAGCAGAGAAGAGATGCTGTAGGGCTCCTGAACTTGACCAAGCCACTTTCTACCCCCACATTCCTTCTTGGAGGCCAGGAATTTGGCCTCCAGCACCTGTAGCTCAGGTGCTCCAGGCCCTGGTCAAGGGAAGAGCTCAGTCCAGGGAAGTTTCTTGGCAGTTTTCTGCCAGCCTGCTTGCATAAAGCCCTGTTTGCCCCCAATTTCCACCTGCCACCAGGGGGCTCCACAAGTCGGTTTTTCAGTCTTGGTTTGCAGGAGAGAACAAAGACCCGATGGACCTAACCTCAGGTGAGAGTCTTGGGCTTCTTGCCCATCAAACCCCAGATGTGGGACAGCAAACTCTTTATTGATGAAAGGGGAAAAGGCTTGGACATCCTATGGAGAGGGTAGTGAGGCTATCCTGAGAACTTGCCAAGTTCCCCTCCCACAGTCCCTTAGTGCATGTACTGCATTGGTTAAGACTTCTCCTTAGTCTCCCATGAGAACAGGATATCCCTCCCCAAACCACTTACTTTGGGCAGTTTTAGGGGGAGCTTCTGGACAGCTGTAAGAACTTATATGTAAATGTGAGGAGAGGGCTCATCCTGTTAGCAGTGGGCATGAGGATGTTTACATCCATCTACACACACAGCATTTAATACCATATGTAGCAACTCATTACCCAGGACCTTCAGAAATTGACAGGGTATTTGTATCAAACTCTATTTGTGTTATATTTATAGTACATACTGGCAAACATATATACATACACCCACATAGGCCGCTGGCCATCCAAACCAGACTGTATATGCTAAGACATAATTGCTACATGTCAGGAACTCTCTTAAATCCTTTTATCTCGCTTAGGAAATTCCCTAAACCAGCTTCTCTAACAGAAACTCAAAAGTGCAAAGAGGGAGAGGAAAGAAAGGAAATAAGAGATGCAGAAAGTCTGCAATTGTCCCAAGTTTTTAGCACTGGGGGGAAATGAACAGAGTTTCAGAGAAGCTACCAGGCTGCGATTAGACACAGATGTCTTCCTGTAGGCATGCATGGGGAAGTGGGGTATGATGTGGCTCCCTTCTCTCACCTCCTCCAACCCCTCTCTGTAGATCCCACCAATTCTTTCATTTCATCCTACTTGCTTAGCGAGGCTTTCCAGCCTTGGGTACCTCTTGCCTTTCCATTTTCAGGGGCAGAGAGAGTGCTGGCCCAGTCCAACTTTCTTACCTCACTGGAGGTAAGCTGCTATCTGGCTACCAGTAGCTCTGTCTGGGAGATTGCCCTCCCTTGCTTTTTCTGTTCTGGATAGCGGTTAAAGGGGTGCTGACAGCCAGCCTCTAAGCAGGGAGCCTCTGCCAGATGAAGTACATATTCTGTTTTTGTTCAGTAAGCCAGGCATATATACCTCATACATAACAGCACACATCACCATGAGGCATAATTCCACTGTGGTCCCAGTAAGCACTAACTACACGTTAGGTATATAATTAGAACAATGCCCCAAATATATGCTCTCTCTGCAGGTGAGTCGCGCAGGCGCGTGCACACACACACACACACACACACACACACACACACACCTCCCATCTTTCCACTGTGGGTAACTGACACTGTACATATACATTTGTAGTAGGCACAAGATTGTAAAATTGCTCATGGGATACAGAAAGCAGAAATAGACAAGTGTATAGCAGCAAGCTGTATTTTCTATAACTCCCCTTAGCCAGAGAGAGTGGAGCAGCTGGGCACCAGAAGCACCCAAACATCAGGCCTGACTGGCCTCTGGGATTTCCGTCCCTGGCTGAGCTTCCTTCTCCAGCCTGCTCATTTTGGTGCCTGCAGATTCCAGTCCCTATCTCAGGGTGGGTCTCTGAGAATCCTCAGGGCTTCCTCTACCACCTAGAAACCTTTCTGGGGATGCCTGAGGGAGGAGAGAGCATTTGGAGCAGAAAACAGTTCCCCTGGGTCCAAACTACACATAACAGGAATACCACCCTGATGTTCTCCTGGCAGATCCCCAGTGGACCGAGATAGGTACAGTTCCTGAAGCCTCCAGTGGCCCACCCACCCATACGGACCTGTTGCCGCTGTGATCTAGTCCTGTGTGTATATGGGGGGGGGGGAAGGTAAGGGAGAGGTGGTTCGGCATGGGGTCTAGCTCTAGCTGCAGCAAAAATCAGCCAATTCCTTGTCATCCCATGAGAAAATTGAATGACAGGCAACCCCTAATCTGTCTAGGAGATCCAGTCTATAACAAGGTCAAACTCCTATATTTGTGTGCTGAAGCCTCAATCTTAATTCGTTATTTGAAGATCTCCATAAAGGAAGAGAAAAAAAAAATGTTTGTGGCCACACAGTATGTTCATCCCTTTTCAAAACTCCCAAATCTCTTACCCATATTTTAAGATAAACGAATTCTGGTTATTAAAAATAATGAAGCAATTAATCACATATTGAATTTATAAACAGGTTTGCAGTGTATGTCGCACTTCAAAACCAGGATTTTATATACTGAGAATAAACTGTTTTGGTTGTCCTCCTAAAAGTAGGAGGACAATAATGAAAGCACCTAGTAGAACTGTGTAAAAAGCAAAATACCCACTTACATGGGTGCAAAAATGGAACAAGTCCTAACTACAGTAGCTCCTTGTGAAAGAACGGGATAAAGTCTCGGTGATGAAACAACAAGCAATGACACAGAAACATATAATCTCTAAGAAAACAAAGCAACATCCCCAGCCAAAAATGCCCGCCACCCTGGTTGCTCTTAACCTTTGTTTAGATTCCTCTGAAAAAGGACAAACTCCCCACCCCCCCGCAAGACTTCCTATTTTAACTGCTGCTGAATTAAGACGCAAAGTAAATAATTTAAGTCCGTGTTAAAAGAAAAAACAAAAAATTTATTTGGGAATTGACAAGGCACGCGCGCGCACACACACACATACACGCACGCGCACACACACACAAATACAATAAAAGTGCTCTAGTTCTCTCTAGAAAATTTGGTCCCCCAAATCATACACTACACAACAACCAGGTCTAGGGTTTTTAGGCCAACCGGCCCGGGCCACAAGCCCGCCTGGGCCGGCCACTGCTGGGTTTCACATTTCTCCATCCCTAAGTGGGAGAAGCAAGACTTTTGAAAAACAAAAATCAGAGAGGGGAGAGCCACCCCTGCAGCGTGCGCCGCGCAGGCAGTGATCTCCGGCGTCCGGGGCTTGTATCCGAAAATTCTGGGAAATTTAAAAAATTTTTTTGCCCCAAGTAGGGAGATAGGGAAACTTCCCCGATTCACAGACGAACCATCTTTTACTGGTTATTTTCTCCTACCTCTTTGAACACAGCTTTCTGGAGGCCCGACGGGAATTCTACTGCAAATCTCCCAGTGGAGAAGATGAGGAACACTAAAGCTTTTGATGTTGATGTTTGGTTTTAGCAAACTCCAAGGCCATAATACTTCACCGGTTTTTCGGCGAATGTTTTTTTTTTCTCTCTTAAAAAATATTTTTCAATGTTATCTAAAGAAGCCCCACCAATCTCTTTAGCAAGACATTAGCCAGCCGTCCGGCCTGGAGATGCCAGATGCCCGAAGCGCCGGATGGAGAGCAGAGCCAAACGCAGCCACATTCCACGCGGGGATGTGGTGCAAACACTAACGCAGGCCGCGGAGCGAGGCTGCTCGGGTTCCCCGCTTGGGCCCAACCCCCGCCCCGCCCAGTGGCCCCGCTGCACGCGGCTTCTGAACAGCTCCAAGAGGGTTCGCGGAGCAATCAAACACGTTCGTCCCTTTCTCCGGTGGCGTGGGTCCTGTTACCGGTCCAGCCCAGCGCTTCTAACCAAGAATTGAACAGCAATCGCGCAGGGAATGCCCAGTGAAAGCCCACCGACCTGTAAGAGAGGGCCAAAAGATCTGCGCCGCCGACGCGGTTGCAACCCGGCCCTAGGCGTTCGCTCTCCGTGTTGAATTTTGGCATGGAGTGTCCGGCCCAGACGGTGGGGCTCCAGGAGACAAGGCCTATATGTAGAAAGCACGCGGAGAGGCGACCTCAGGCCTGGGGAGCGCAAGAACATAGAGGGCAGGGAGGAGAGCGCAGGAAGAGAAGCGGAGGGGACAAAGAGGAGCGAGAGGAGCTGAGGGAAGCGAAGAGACGCAGAAGGGTCGTGGGGGCTGGCTGGCTCAAGAGTCGACCTCAGAGGGTGCGCGGTCCGATAGGCTACTGTAGCTATGACTAGGGCCGGCGTCGGGCGTCTTGGCATCCTCACATCGGTCCGCGCCGGCATGCGGTGACTCTCAAAGATCCAGGCGCGAATGCAGCGCGCCAGTTTTGCTGTCGTGGTCCCAGTAAGAGCAATGCATCATGGCGAGCTCGGGCTGCCGGGCGCAGGCGAACTGCA